GTTCAAGAACCAACTTAGGACTTAGAAATCTTCCCCTTGCAGGAAATTTTTCCAGATCTGCTCAGTTTCTCCCCCTCCCCTGTCCGCGAGCTGCACTTGCGGTGCGAATTTCTGGGCTTTTTCCGGTAAGCAACAGCCATGATTTCCTCTCTTCAGCTCTAAATGGGCTTGGGTTCACTCTAATTGCTTTTATTTCTGTCAATTTCGTGTTAGTTCTCTGCAAATCCCGTCCCTGCCATACCCGCCAGATCTGGTTCTGCTTGCCGGAAAATTTCGGTAAGATGATAGCTTCCTTAAGTCTGGATTTTTATCAATTAATTGCTGCCCTGTATCTTCGAATTTTCTGCCTTTGATTTGCCCTTGTATTGTTCTGATTTTCTGCTGAAAGAGGGAAGAATTCTGACAGTAGTGAGATGATTTTTCTTAGTTTAATTCATGTAGAAAATTATCTTGATTGGCTGCTGTGATTTTGGAGAAAAATCTTGTGACTTGTTGTGTTGCCAAAGCCCTGTTTTTCCCATTTGTTTGTCCGGAAGTCCACTTGGGAGAAAAAAAAATTTTAATTGAAATAAAAGCCTTGTTCCCCATTGTTTTATCCGTGAGATTGGGAAACCATTTATATATGTATTTGTGTATATAAATGTATATATACACAATCCGGTCAATGAAAATAAATAAATAAATGAAATTGCTTATAGAATTAATTCTTGGGTATTTTGGTTAGGTTCTTGATCCTTGGAACATTTTAGTACGTGGATTGAGTCTTCAGTTTTATGCGAGTGAGGTAAATAAATTTGTGGTAATGTCCGTACAGCTTTTAAAAGCATATTTTAGCTTCTTTTTGAAATGGTGGCGGGACTAAATCCGTTTCAGACAAATACAAGCATGACTGATTTGAAAAGAAATTATTATTCTTTTTATTGATTTGAGCATGCCTTCTTGGAGTTTACTTAACTGCCCTGATGATCTGAAAATTAATTGTGAATTATGATTTTCCTGTTAACTTCTGCCTGGTTTTGTTTCTGATATGATCATGTTATTCGTGTGTCCATTAGTGGGAGGTTTATAAATGCTAGCACATGTCGACATGTATTTTTGTAGAGCCAGTTCCTTCTGCCAGTGGGAGTTGTTAAACATTAGTATCTCTGTAATGCTGCTAGTGGGATTATACACTAGTAAATCATGTGCTTGCCAGTGGGAGGCTTATAACACTGGCAATGACCTATAGAGGAGACGTTTATTTCATTTCCGTACTCGTATCTGTTTTTCATGATTATGCTTGTTGGCATGCTATAAGTTTAATTAAGGGCTATCCATATTTACTTATTGAGTTATCTCATAGTTTTTCCTTGTCCACCATTTCAGGAAGCGAAGTCAAGGATGGGGAAAAACGAGAGGAGTGACGAGTTAGAAGGCTAGCCATCTTGTAAATTGAACATAGATTTTAGATATAAATCATGATCTTGTAAGCTAGACTTTATTTGGATATTTTATGATATCAGAGCAAATTTTGTAATTTTATCTTCAGAGATTGTGGTATGATAAAGTTCTGAGCCTTGTGCATTCGTGGGACTTGTTCACGAGTGCACGGCATCTGTTACGTCCCCGATTTGAGTTCTGGGGCGTGACAACTTCCACATCCCTTCTCTTAGTCACCATTGTCCCTTTTGTGGCCACTTTCATCACCCAAAAGTCCTAAACATCCTTCATTTGCCCTTTTGTTACTTGCTCAAAGATCAAAGAAAGAGGAAAGCTCATCAGAACCATCTTATGAGCTCCTTCAGAGACTTGCACACCATCCTTAATAGAGTGAACCTTCTCACAAACACAAGGCAAAAAGAACTACCACAAATCATGGTTGCCACCTCATTTTGAGAGAAAAACCCATAAGGGCCATTTGGTATATTTTTTAGGAAATATTCCCCTCTAGGATTCGCAAGGATATTTTGATACTTACTTACCTCAAAACTATAATAAATAAAGGATAAAAATGATATTTTTGTGTTTATTTCCTTGAGACAATTCTCAATTCGTAAACTTTTTCTTCCCACATTTTTTAAAGGCAAACATTTCCCACAAGTTTTCCTATGTTGGAATCATTTACCAACTTTTTCTATTAACTTCCTTATCTCAATTTTTTAGAACCATAAAAAGTTAACAACCTATCAAAATTCTAATAAAACTTCATTAAAAAAAACTTACCAACTTTTCATACAATATTTTCTAATTTTTCATACAATTCTATTTTAACTACTTTTTCAATAAAAATTTTCCAAGGTTGGCCTCTAACCATACAAATTCATAAGCTGACCTACCTTTCCTATATGATAAAGAAAAGATTTCTCTACAACCCCTTTTACTTTTTTTCTTTGTTAATTGAATTCAATTATCCAAGAATCTATTGGTCGATGATGACACATGTAATAAAGCTTTATTTAATATGATTTTAATTTTTTATTTTAGTTTTAAAAATCAAAACAAAATTAAAATATTACTCTTTTCGGTTAGATTTAATTATCTTAATTTGAGTTTTACATAAAGTTTGATCGGATGATTTTATATAGTAAATAAATGATGATTTTATATAGTAAATAAATGATAGTTAAAATTTTTTTTCCTATATATAGTAATTGTTGAGTTATTTCACTTCAATAAAGAAATTTTTTAATTTATATTCATTTACTATATAAAATTATTAAGTTAAATTTTATGTAAAAGTCAATTTGAAATAACTAAATTTAATCAAAGGTCATAATTATTTATTTAATACAAGTTCTAATATTAACAACTAAAATAGTAAACTTTTTTAGCAGTACTAAAATTATTTTTTATTTCTTTAATTATCATATTAATAAGTTGAAAACCACAAGAGCTAAAGATAAAAAACCATAATCATATTAAAAAAAGTCTACATTAATAAGTACAAACAATAGAAGGTAAAAAAAATGAAAACTATATATTATTTATTTGTTTATTTATTTATTTATTTTAGGTTAAATAACATGAGATAAACCCTTTTATTTCTTAACCTACCCTACCTAACCTCCCCTACTTGTTTTATAACTCAATTCTAGGTTTCTTACTCTCTTTGGAGAACTCTTTAATCATTGTTTTGAATCTCAGCTTGACCTGACAAGTTGAACCAATTAAACTGGATTTTGTTTTAAAAACAGGTCAGATTATGATAATAACTTGTTTGAAGTCAAATTCAGTTAAAAATTAGTTAGACTCAATCAAACCTGGCTAGGACCTAATTAAACTCGCCTAAACCCAGTTAACCCAGTTGATCCAAATCCATTCAACTCTTTCTTTTTTCTTTTTTTTTTTAACATTTTACATATTTCTATTTATTTAATTAATATATAAGAGGTTAGTGTTTTTCCTACTTACCTTCAAAAAATTAGAAGAAAAATTATTTCAAACATCGTTTTAATAAAGTATTATAGGAAAGTACAAAAAAACCCTAATTCATGTTTTGCAAATAGGATATTTTAATCTTTTTCAATAAGTGTTTATTAAATGATGTAGTTTTAGAATAATATTTCTCTCAATCTTTAGAAGGTAAGGCAGATGAGCACTATTCCTAATATATAATATAACAATTAAATCGTAAAATCTATTTAAAGTTAAATCACAATTAATGAAAGAAAAAATTTAAATTAATTTAAATATAATTTGAAATTAAATTACAATTTCAAATTAGAAAGTGATTTTAATTTAGAATCCAATTAATTTGATTTTGGAAAAAAAAAAAAACAACTACTTTATATAATTAAATGAATGAAATCAATTTAAAATTAAAATTAAACTTAAGTAATTTTGGAAATAAAATCAATTACTACTTTAAATAATAAAATGTTAAAACCCTAATTTGGTCATTTTACTTTATAAAAAATACTTCTTTTTAGTCATTCTACTTAAAACAACTCATTTTTAATTCTTAAAGTTTGAAATCCAGTCATTTTTTAGTCATTTTATTAAGTTTTGACATTAGATGACATAAATTTTAGAGTGGGACCAAAAAGAAGTTTTTCTTTTCAAAGCATAGGGACCAAAGTGGGACTATTTTTACCTTCTTTTTAGCCTTTTTTTGATTTCTCTACTTTAAAATTTCCATTATTTAATGTGCTACATATGTAAAACTTAACGGAAGTACTAAAAAGGGGTTGGATTTCAAATTTTAGGGATAAAAAATGAGTTTTTTTAAGTAGAAGAACTAAAAAGGAAATTTTTTACCAAAGTAAAGGGATCAAAATGGAGATTTAACCATAATAAAATGAATGAAATCTTTTTAAAATTAAAATTAAATGAAATTGATTTAAAATTAAAACTAATCTCAAGCAATTTTGGAAATAAAATCAATATAAGGAAAAAATAATTTTATTATTAATATAATATCAATGTTTTAGATGCCTATTAAAGAAAAATATATTATGTATTTTAATAAATTTAATAACTGAAATTAATTTCAAATTAATAAATTTTAAGAATAAAGTTTTAAAATTAATAGAGATTAGTGCATATCAAGGGCCTGTTTGGTACAACGGTTAAAATTCAGCTGATAGCGGATAGCAAGTAGCGGATAGAGGTAACAGGTAGCGGGTAGCGGTTAGCAGATAGCGGATGACGGATAGCGGAAAGTGGGTAGCGGATGGTAAATAGCAGATTCAATAAATATAACTGTTTGGCTATACAATGGTTAGCGGTTGTTATTTAACATTAAATGTGTCATGCCCCAAAACCCAAATCTGGGGACACGACAGACGCCGTACACTCGTGAGAGGGACCCACAAATGCACAAGGCTCAGAACTTATCACACCACAATCTGATACCATCAAAATCTAAAGATCAAATTTGCTCTCATATCATAAAATCTCCAAATACACTCTAGCTTACAAGATCATGATTTATATCTAAAATCTATATCAATCTCAAAATGGCTAGCCTTTTAACTCGTCACTTCCCGTGGTTTCCCTGTCCTCGGTTTTGCTTCCTAAAATGGTGGACAAAGAAAAACTATGAGATAAACTTAGTAAGTAAAATATGGAGTGCCCCTTATTAAACTTATAGCATGCCAACAAATATAATCACGAAAAACAGGTATGAGTACGGAAACGAAATAAACGTCTCCTCTATAGGTCATGGCCAGTGTTATAAACCTCCCACTAGCAGGCACACGATTTACTAGTGTATAATCCGACTAACAGGATAACAGAAACGAACCGGTTCTATCAGTAACATGTCGACATGTGCTAGCGTTTATAAACCTCCCACTAGCACGCACACGAATAACATGACCATATCGGAGACAAAACAGGCAGAAGTTAACAGAAAAATCACAATTCACAATCACCTTCAAATCATCAGGACAATTAAATAAACTTCAAGCAGGCATGCTCAAATCAATAAAAAGAATATTAATCTTATTTCAAATCAATCATATTTGTGTAAAACGAGTTTAGTTCCACCACCACTTCAAAAACAAGCTAAAATATGCTTTTAAAATCAAAGGGCGTTACCATAATTTACTTACTTCACTCACATAAAATCGAAGACTCGATCTCAGTGCTAAACTGACAGAACGATCAAGAACCTAATCAACATATTCCAAAAATTAATTATCGCACCACGGGTTCAAAAGTAAAATCACCATAACTACCCCCTAATCACGATGTTATTCCTATCAATCTCCACATGACTAGACATCTCCAAATTTGTTTTTATATTACAAACTAATCATTTAAATCCCCGTTAATTATTGACCATCTGTTCGTGAACAGTGCCGTGAACAGTACCCGCGAACAGTAACAGCACTTCCAAAAATTGACAAAACCATAGCTAATCTCACGGGATTTTCTCTCCAAAAATCACAGCAATCAATTAACTAATTTTCTACATGAATTAAGCAACAAAACACAAAATGCTCTAATTGCTACCGGAATTCATCCCCCTAATTCAACAAAATTCGGACAGCACATGGGGCATAAATTTATCAACCAATTGATGAGATTTCAAGCTTGGAGGGGCTGTCAACATACCAGAATTTGCAAGCAAAGAAACCGGAGCTGCAGATTGAGGGGAAGGCCGGCGGGAAATTGGAGGAGCTTTCACGCCACTACCCAAAAATTGAAAGAAACCAAAAGGGATTAAAGTGCACCGAAGCCAAATTAAGGCTGAAAAGATGAAGTTCATGTTGTTTCCTTACCAGAAAAACCGAGAAACTCACCCCCACACACGGCAGAGCAGTGGGCGGAAGAAGCAGAGCAGGGCAGATCCGAATTTCTGCAGAGAGGGGGGGGAATTCCAAGCTTAAATC